CGGAAACTACCAAAATAAACTGTATTGTTCAATCCACACGCATCGAACTCGTAAGTCGATCAGTTGGACTAGTTATGTTAATTGGCAGAGAGCGTTAATCAAGAAAATAAATTTTAATGAGTGCGTTATTGTTGTTAAAAATTAATTAAGTAACCGAAGGACGGACATGTCGCCCCAATTAAAGAAGATAAATAGAAAATAATTAGTGTTTCATTTGATGTTCTATTCCGGTCTATTTTAATTGCCGTCTTCTCGGCTGCAACGTGCCGTAATTGCGACGTTTCCCTTCTGATTTTCTCAACAGGCCCAAACGAGAAATCGGTCCCGAAATTGTTAGCACAAAGGAAATCAGAGATTTTTCCGGGCGACTTTTGAGCAATTATTCTGCTGTGCGGACCACTTTGATTTTGCATGTAATCGCCACACCTTAGGCAAATATCCCCAACTTCTCCAACGTGAGTGAACGCAGCCGCTCAATTCAGTTAGTAGATTTGCGACAACGAACAAATTGTTTAAAAGTTCTGTTATGGCAAAATCTGGTCACCGGAAAACCTAACTTCCGGCTTTAGACCCTCCGCAGCGGAACAAAATGCCCGTAGGGATCGAAGCATGAAATAATGTTGTGTGGAGTTAACAGTGGTTTAACATTGGACAAGGTGCGAACCAAACAATATCATTCGTGGGTATTGCCGCTGCAAGTTGCTAGAAAAAGCGCCTAAACCAACCTGGCTGTTAATTGAGAGCATTTCCAAGATAATCCCCTGCCTGCAGGTTCTACGGCATTTTATAGATAACCCATAACTGTCATCCGTATGCACCTAACGAAGAGAACCCACGGCTCGGCCAATAAAGATAAATTGTAGTAAGCCTTACCTAATTGCCGGCCAAGCACCTCTTTAATTCATTTCAATTAGCCGTAGCCGTTTGAAAATTGCTTTTTATCATGATCATCATCAGCATCATCGATCCGTCCACTTGTACTGCGATTTACGAGTACGATTGGGGGCTTTGGTGGCTCAACTTTAACGGCCCCCACAAAACACCCGGTCTGAAAATGCGTAGTCAATCCGCAGCCAAAAGGTGCGTTTCACACGGGGAAAACATGTGTTGTGCCTGTGGTTGGGTAGATTTTATCAGTTCATATACGTACTGCCGATTACGGTTTACCTTAACAGGAAAACTGAAATTTTAATCCGCCGATTTAATCATTGTAATAGGTGCCATTTGGCATGCATAATGAGAACCAGTCAGGACATAAGTATCCATGCGGCCCCCTTTTGTTTGCCAGAGATTATTAGCAGACTCAAAAAACACAGGATTCTAGGCATGTCACCTGCAGGAATTGTTTCATTTTCAAGTATACAGGATGGTTCAGTTTATAGTTGCAGGACTGTAAATGAAAATGCTTTTGAGATATAGCGTGGAAAAATTGCAAGCAGACTTTTAAAAATGAATTACCCACAAACCAGTCTAGATATAAAAGCGCTTGTTACGCCAGTGGAAAGAGGGAACATTGCTTTATCATTGCTGCAAAATTGACTCTATT